TACTCTGATGTACCATTCTGCAGGTTGTACTCTGATGTACCATTCTGCAGGGTGTACTCTGATGTACCATTCTACAGGGTGTACTCTGATGTACCATTCTACAGGGTGTACTCTGATGTACCATTCTGCAGGGTGTATTCTGATGTACCATTCTGCAGGGTGTACTCTCATGCACTATTCTATAGGGTGTACTCTGATGTAACATTTGTCAGGGTGTATTCTGATGTTGATAATCTTCTCTCAGGGTGAATAAGAGATTCTTTGATGCAGTGAGTTCAACTCTGACTGTATTCAACGCCACAGAAAAAAAAGACTGGGTTCAACTTTACAGAGGGATTGCTGCAGGATTAGGCAAAGAAGGTTTTAATTTTGAAAAATGTGTTGAAGATGGAAACCAAACTGTAGCAGTGTTCAAGGAGTCATTCAATGCCTTTAAAAACAAAAGCATTTTCAAAGGACTGCAGTTGTTTGGTACAGCTCTTATGGACATAGTAAAGGCATTCGAAGATTGCAGTGAGACTGACATTGCTAAAGCAATTGAGAAACTGGCCACTGATTTCATAAACTGCGTTGAAGGTAACTACAGCTTAGGAATTAAGTAGAAGAGTATAAACTTGTACAGATTACAGATTTACTACTGAAGGTAAATGTTAGAAATCATGATCAAGTTTAAGATTTTCTTTTCTTTTTCGAACCTATCTATCAGCAGTGGCAGGTACCTCCACTAGTTAGAATTCAATAATCAAATCACATCATAAGTAAGTTAACCCACTTTGAGTACATTTAGCAGCACTTTAAGTCGATTTGCTGACAAAGAGACCGATTTTTGCCTTCAACTGTAACACCCCAGCCAGGGAAGGGAGGGGGGGTGGGAGTGGGGGTGGGGGTATGCTACCCTAAAAAATTGTGAAAAAGTATATGCATGAGACTTGAGAGCACTGTGGGACATTTACTCAGCTGTAAGATGTTGCAGTTATTAGAATAATGTCATGTCTTTTTGTGTCTAGGTAACTGTGCCAACTTTGTGATTGATGCTGCTGCAAGGCTTATTATCCTTTTTGAGAATGTGATTGAGATATATGGTGACATAAGAGGGGCAACAAATTCCTTCCACATAAAGGCTTATGAACAAGGTAAAAGTCAACTGAATTACACTGGTTTACATCTTTCAGAATATAATTTGAAAAGTTAACTTTGAGAACCAGATAAATTGAATCACTCAATATCTGCAGATTGTGGGAGACCATGGTTATCAAAAATGCTGAATGGACATGTGTTTAATGTGTCTACCAGCCTCTCTTTCCAGTTTCTACATACATACATACATACATACATACACACATACATACACTTTTTGATAAGGCAGGTCAGTTTGCGGCAACCTTAAGGCTGGTGTGGACCTGCCAGTAACTCAATTAAAATCCATATTTACGCACAATCTTAAATATAAAAACCTTAAATCTAATTAATGAAATTTCTAAAAATAAAAACTAAAAGTAGAAGAGATCTGATTATTTTGATGTTACCATACAGGCCTCTTTTTCGAATTGAATTTGGAAAAAGAGGACTGAGAATACATGCTGAGCAGCATTTTTTAACCCTTAAACTCCCAGAAGTGATGAATGTGTAACTTCTCCCTATACTATCTAAACATTCTCCAGCAAACTGGTAAGGAGAATACTCAAACTAATCAGATACAAGTTGTAATCTTGATCTGACATCAAATTCTTGTAACTAATTTACAAGGAAATGTATGGCAGCCAGAGGGAAAAATTAGCACTCTGATCTCGGAAGTTACAGGGTTAATTGACATCTATAAATTTGAATTTTCTAGTTGAGATGTTTACCAACTTTTAAGAGGGCACTCAGAAATAATACATATGGCATAATAAGATATGACCCTTTATTAGTATTTGAATCATTGTTGTTCCACTGTCTGATATTTTTTCTCCTCCAGGTGGATACTGCATTGGCCGTATTGTTAATGTGTGCATTGCAATACCATCAACCAATTACTAGACTTGAACATCTTTGCTTTTTTCAATTCAAAATGAAAAACTTAACTGAGGTCTACAGGCAATGGAATTTAAATTTCATGACAAGTTAGAAGAGTTGCCATTTTGTGTCAAGACTTAAATCAAGCTTAAATTTATTTCAACTTATCGTAATGCATTGTTCGTGGTGAAGAATAATTACACACAGAATTACTCAACAATGTGATTGCCTCAAGTATAATTATCGATGGACAATTTTTGTGTTTTTTGTACCTCTTGTGCAAGGGTTTAAAAACAAGGTAGGGGGAATAAGTGCTTTGATGAATTTGAAACTGAACATATTTGCAATCTTTTAGAGATGAGCAATGCTTAAGTTAAACAGTCAAAAGATGAATTAACTTTCAACTTCTAATATTGAGTTATTGTATTTTATTTGTTCACTTACATGACTGACACTACAAATGAAATAAAAAGTGTACTGTACATTGCTCAGCTGTCTCTGAGTTGTTTACTGTTACATCTTCTTTTAAACTATTCTCTCAAGTTCTTTGGCATACTCCAGCATGTTCTTTATCATTTTGTAAGAAGGAATTTCTTGTTTCATTTCTTTGTCTGTTTCCGGTTCAAAATAGTAGTATTTATCTTCCTTTAGAGTCCACTCTCGCTAAAGGCAAGAATACACAAGCACTATTTTAACATTCTGAATATACTGCATAAGTTTGGTAAATATATGTTGCAGTCAAATTTAACCTTTCTGTACTATATCTTTGCTTAATAATAAATGCAGTACCTATTTAGTATTTTTTAAAGAAAAAATTTGTTTAGAGGTAAAAACCCATCTACGATATTGTTAAATATAATGGTTACCTTTTGAGCAAAAGCTGCCATATCTTTTGCACTCTCAAAGTACAGTATCCTTGCAGCCTCCGGGAAGGAGATATGTGCATAAGCTTTTTCTGTACATGCTGCTATTTCATCTCTTAAAAGGAAAATTCAAACACCAAAAGTTTAAAGGAAATCAAAGACACAACAGTTGCATGAATGTCTTCTCCCCATATGAAATGTAGAGGGACACTGGACAGAGCAACAAACACAGACTGTCCACAAACTGAGTGCTGAACTGACTAACAGATGGAACAACCAGAGAGAAATGGAAAATACAAACAGAGATTATCACTCAGAATAATAGCCAGACAGATGTACAGACAGTCAATCATGGTCAGTATTTCTGAGAGACAGGAAGGCAGACATGCAGTGAAATAAAGGCTGATAGTTTCTAAAGAAACTGTTTGGGGCTGCGTCGGTGGGGGTAACGAAATAATTTGGATATATCAACAAAGTTGAAATGGTAAATTGGCCACCGTAACGATTACAAGAGCTGACGTTTCGAGCGTTAGCCCTTCGTCTATTCACTCCGATGAAGGGCTAATGCTCGAAACGTCAGCTTTTGTAATCATTATGGTGGCCAATTTACCATTTCAACTTTGTTGATATATCAAAATTATGCAGTGAAATAGACAGACAGTCACTAACACACAGACCATAGGTAACAGACCAAATTTGTCCAAGCTTTGGTTGCCATAGACTGTGCCTTCAAAGCTAACCTACCTGAGAGTATCTAGAAGAATATTCATAAAGAAATGGTAGTTGTCAGCTGGTACATTTCCCCTGGCCAGGAAGACCTAAGAAAAAATGCAAATTACAACTAATATAAGCAATACTTTTATAACAAAAAATTAAGTAATAACATAAAATAGCACAAGTTAGTTGTGACAAAAGTACCTTGTTGTAGTTTCCCTCCATAAGATACTAAAAAGAATTGTAAAAACCATTTTAATAACAGTTTACTACTTTAGTATTTCAAAAGGTCCAAACCCATTTCACACAACAATAGGAGAGTCAAATAATAACATTCAATAACAAAACCATTTTTAAAACAATAAAATTCATGCATGTATTAACAAAATTCCTGTTTCAGCAGGAGTATAAATACCTGATAGGTACAGTTGAGATATATATTTTTGTGAATATAATCACATGACTGTACCTGTTCAAGGGAGACAGAATGTTTAATGTACACATTGTTCTGAAGTTCTTTGGCAGGCAAAAGTTCCAGTTCCTGTTGGACAAAAATATCAAAATATTAGCAACTTAAACCTTTAACTCCCATAAGTGATTAACATGTAACTTCTCACCTCAGCATTCATGCATTATCCAGCCATTAAGTTAAGAGAATAACTCAAACTTATCAGGTAGAGGTTGTTACCTTGATCTCACACCAAATTCTCCTAACCTATTTACAAGGAAATGTGAAGCAGCTACGTAGGAGAATTAACAATCAGGTATTGGGAGTTAAATTATCTACCCAATTGGCCATTGATGTTGCCATGAATAATGTTTCAGAACAATAACAATTTTTGTTGGACAAATTGGTGTATTCAAACTTGTTTCTAACTTTAAAAAATTTCTTGAAAGTATTTGACTTCTGAAGTGGAAAAGACAACAGATAAATTGATTTCACCCTTCTTCATTACTACTCACTGTATGAAACTCTGCAAGACGATTCTGTGCAAGAAGAGACAACAAATTCAGCCCAAGAAGCTGATACATATAAGCTGATTCCTCAAGAGTACCCCTGTGAAATTTAATCAAGTTCAATGCATATGTTACAACACTTAATGGCAACTATAGAATTCATAGAGCAAAAGAATAAACTAGCTAAGTTGACTATTACCAAAAATTTAAAGACAAATTCAAACACTATTACTTCCTGATCAGCCAAGTATCCTTAGACACTGCTGGAGGTTATTATCATGAGGTAAGCATGAACTGATGGTGGGGGGGGTGAATCTTCTCTTCTACTGAATAAAGAGAGCTAGTCCAATTCTGATGACCCCATTAGAAATCAGGTTTCCCTATCACTGCCCATCAACATTTGTGCTCTTGAATGGGAAGAGGCACTGTGAGATTTAAGCTTCATGTCTAAGAACTAACACAGCTCCTGGGATGGAAAAACCTAGCTTCCCAACAGCAAATACAAAGAGCCACAATGATCTATAAGTCTCTGCACAGCTTAGCTCCAGACTATTTACATTCTAAATTTGAAAGGCGAGAAATTGCGTATAACCTAAAAGACTCTGAGAATAAGCTTCATGTTCCATCGCCATGCACAAACTATTATAAGAATAGCTTTAGCTATAGTGGCACCACCCTTTGGAATAGTCTTCCTCGTGATATAAGACAAGCAGAGTCCCTTGGGTTATTTAAGCATTTAATTAAAGAAGTGGAAAGCAGCTTTAGTTACCGTAGTTATTTGACTAAAAGCCGACCTTGGCTATAAGCTGAGAGCCTGAACTTGTGAGACATGATAGTTGGCAAAAGCTTTACGAAAAAAATCGAAAAAATATTGGCTATAACCTGAGACCAAGGTTTCTTCACAAATTCATTCAAAAAACCTTCATCTCTGGAGACAGTCATGTTGAAAGATATTGTGTAGAATAAAATCACACTTCTTAGAAACAATGAAAGCATTTTATTCATTGTAAACAATTAACCATCAGTGCAAAACATTGTGCTCGTGAGTACTAATTGATCCTAACTGCACTATAAAGGGAAAAATGCTTAAAATGAAAGCCACCAGACTGATTTTCATCATCACACACTGCTTACCGAAGTCAATAATCTATCACTCGCTGTCCATCATGTCAAAGGCAAGACGTTATTCATACAATGTGGCTTTCAAGTTTAAAGTTCTTGCTGAAGCGGAAGCAGTCAAAAACAACTCAGAGATTGCTCGCGAGTATGGATTTATTGAGTCCATGGTCCTTCGCTGGCGCAGAGATCAGCCAAACTCTTCAACGGAGAGCTGAAGATGTCAGCAAAACGCACAACTATGGGTCACTTTACCCCAGTGTATCCTGAGCTAGACCAGCAGATATTGAAAGGGTTCACCGAGCAAAGAGATCAAAGTGAGTAAATGTTTGACGCTGATTTGTATTGAAATGGTTTAAAAGAAGCGCCGAATGAAGAATTTGCTGCAGACGCATTCACAAGCATAAATGCACGTGAGTTTGTTTCAGTGCGTGGGAATCGACAATTCCTATTGATCAGATTTGCACTTCGTCATGACAAATTACAGACAGAGAGTGAAGGCAACAGCAATGGCGAGTAAACTGTTTATCAGTTGCTAGCTCTTCAAAAACCAGCTCCTTTAGGAGCCACCACATCTATAAAAGTGCATTGACCAACAATTTCATCTCAAGTGTCTTTATATAATATTATACTTTATTGTGTTTCACTGATTTTGACTTGGCTACAAGCCCATCACAGAATTTGTGTGACATTTCTATAAGTTCTCAACTCCTGAGAGAGGAAAAAATTGATCAAACCGAACCCCTTTGTTGGAAATGGTTTTGGTTGATACAAGTCCGAATTTCTGAAAAAAATCGCTCAGCTTATAATCGAATAACTACGGTAGATTTAGGTTTTAAGTATAGTTTTCATAATAGTATCTTATCCATTTGATGCATGTTGATACTGTTAAATATTTTAAATGTTTTATTATTTATAGCTGATGAATTGTACGTGGATAAATAAAGATTATCTATCTATCTATCTATCTACACAACATCATAATGATTACAACTAGGGTTAGAACCAGAGTCCAGTGCACCCACCAAAATCCACCATGTCTCATTTCTAAGCATATGAAACATTTAACTTGCATACTAAAATAAAACAACTCAGCTACTACACATCCAATGCCCTTACTTGTAATCAAGGTAATATGGTTTCAACTGTGCCATGTATCTTTCAAATGATGGTATGTCGTTCTTTAGAATGCTCCATTGAACACCAATTTCTAGTGCATCTCCTGTGGACAAATTTTTTGTACAGCAACCCATGAACACACTAATAAATGTAAGAGTAAATTACCCCTAAACCTTGCTCAAAAAAGGTAGTCATACAATGAGAACTGTTGAATCAATCATGAAACTTACTTGCTAAAAGAAGTTCCTGTGGGGTTGGTTTGCTCGACGAAGTTGGTAAGAATGAAAACTGGATCAAAGCCATCTAGAAGTCACAGCAAGGGATTTTCGTCATTCATTTTATCAAGTTATATATGGTAACTTTGTGGTGCAATAATATTTGCTAAAAATCAATCTTATTCCTTCCTAATACCCTCAGCTAAGAATATTACAGTGACACAAACTCAACCGGGGCCACCCAACGTTTTTTAGCCAATCACAAGACGAGTTTAGAACAAAAAAATTGAAGTTCGTTCATCAGCAGATCGATCACTATCAGGGTCAAATTTCACTGTTCGTTTGACTAGATCAGATGTGAAGGTATGCGAAAGCTTATAGTTTTTTTAAAGCAAAAAAATATAATATTTTTCGTTTCTATTACGGTAAAGGTGAATAAATATTTACCGGATGGCGGCCGGTAATTTCGAAGACTAAACTGACTAAAGTTAAATTTACCAAATTGCGGCCGACTCACTTTATACAATATATTTTCCGAAACAAGGCCTGGAATGCCGAAGGCGAGAGCTTATGTAATTTACTGAATATTGCGGCCGCGAATTTTGAACACGAAACGGGCTCGATCAATGTGAATAAATATATCAAATTACAGCCGGCTAAACCTCAAGGCGAAACCGGCTCAACACAAGTATATTTTTAAAATATCATTGAAAAACGGCCGTATCTACAATTTTACCGAGAATTTTAGTAACCAATCACAAGGACAAAGAAAATTTCAAATTTAGTTTTTGCATGTATTACCGGTGGTTGATTCCGTTTGCGTTGTAGTTTGAAAGTCGGGAAGTATTTCAAACATTCACTGATTTGAGGTAAAACCGTTTCGTCTTCAAAATCTCAGGCCGTGTCAATTCCGCAAATACATTTGTATTGAGTCCGTTTGGTCTTCAATATTCCCAGCCGCATTATTCCGTAAATAATATAAGCTTTCATCCTCGACATTCCAGAACGTGTTTCGAAATATATATTTTATAAGTTAACCCGTTCGTAATTTAGTAAATTTCTTTAAGTCTGAGTCCTTGCAGTCTTCAAACCTCCCGGCCCCAAAATTCGGTAAGTTGTACAAGCTTTCTTTTTCAAAACTCCATACCCTATATCGAAAAATTTTTGTTATAAAAGTTTACTCAGCCGTAATTTGGTAAATTTACGTTGAGTTCGTTCAGTCTTCAAAATTCCCGGCAGCAATACTCGGTAAATTATACAAGTTCTTGTCTCCGACATTCCAGACCGTGTTTCGAAAAATAAATGTCATTGGTTTACCCAGCATTATTCGTTACTTACGTACGTTGAGGCTGTTCAGTCTTCAAAATTACCGGCCGCCATTAGGTAAATATTTATTCGCTTTTACCGTAAACGAAATAAACAACATATTTATTTCACTGTAAAAAAACTAGAAGCTTTCGCATGTCTTCACATCGACTCCAGTCAAACGAGCAGTCTAATTTGACCGTTGATGAACGAACTTCAATTTTTTTGTTCTAAACTCGTCTTCTAATTGGCCAAAAAACGTTGGGTGGCCCCGGTTGAGTTCGTGTCACTGTAAGGTTGATTAAAAAAATTTTACTTAATTAAGATTGTTAAAAGTGCACTTCATCAAGAAATAAAGAGCATGGTTTCGAGAAAAATTATGTGTATTTCCAACCATGTGTCAATAATGTTGTTCCGCTACAAAGTACGACGAAAACCACAAGATGAAACTCACCTTCATCCCAGAGAGAAGCTTTCCAACCTTCTCAAGATCAACGGGTTTTCTATTCCACTCTTTTATGAGAGTTTGATAAAGAGACACAACTTCTTTCAAACCAGTTTGGGAAGCCATCTTGGATTTTTTCTTCTTTTTGCCAGGTCACAGTCCTCGTTCCCAGGGTCTCTCATCCTCCCGCACCATGGGGTGGGAGGATGAGAGACCCTGGGAACGAGGAATAATTAACAATTCTTCCACAATTATTCCTCTTAACCAGTCCCAAGCCGCGTGTTGCTCTATAGATCACAGGATGTGATTGGCCATTGTATCACATTACGTCAGAGGACATATCTTCAACAATAGGTCAGTTCAGCGGTTACCGTTGTAGTTTACGCGCTCGTCTCATCCGAGAAAGACTAGATTGTAGTTTTAATAACGCCTGGTAATTTTCAGCAAGCCATACAGTATTTCCCAACTACTCCGGTCGACGAACTTTAATTTCCATTAGTTTGAAATTAATTTATCAATATTCTGATATGGAAAGTGATATCCAGGATGCTTTAGAAGATCTGGGGTGGGTTTCAAACGACACCTATGACTCGATTATCATACATGAATCATGTAAAATTGGCAACCACATCTATCTATCCAAAATTTCCCGGTGGTTACGTCTAAAACCTTATTTCATTCTCGGGATAAAATCATTGAGAAAATGGGCATTTTTTTATTAAGCACAATAGGTGGATATTCAATTTTCTCATCAATTTTTAAATGAAAGCGATCTTACTCTGCCATTTTTGCTTAAATTTTATATATTTATAAACTACCAATGATTAACCAACTGAATTTTTAAAAAATTGGTTTGTAAAGATTTAGAGGCGAACTTTTGGATGAAGGTGCTCTAGTTACTGCCAGCCGTGGGGATTGTCTCACAGTTGACTTCATGGCCTTATGTGTCTGGCTAAGTGAACAGCTGAACTGTCTCTGCACAATACAGGAGCATGTTTCAGGTACTATAATAACAAACTAACAAAGTAGAGCCAAAACAATCAAATTTCAAGTTGATATTTTAATATAATTGACATTCAGTATTGAATCAGTTATTTTATTTTGGTTTGAAACAGAGAAAGAGGATGAAGAAACATTTCGCATGGAAATGAGTGGACTGTTAAATGAGCTAGGTATTGTGGTTATTATAGTATTAAAATGTATGTTTTCCACATTTAAGGCATTTCACAAATTTTAGGGATGTCTCCTTATTTTTCACAGGTTGTCCCCACTCTCAGATCTTGGGAGTCAATGGGCTTGCTCCTCAAGCAAACAGGCTGCTTCTGTTGGGTAACTTAAAAATTCTTTTACATAGAAAATTAATATGAGAGTAGTATATTTTCATAATGACTTTGAACTCTCTCTGACTCTCTATCAGACTATCTGACCTCAGAAGTTCAAGCACTGAAAATGATTGGAGGAGAAGAAGAAGAAGAAAAAATGGAGATTGATAATCAAGTAATTCTCATTTATTATGATGATTGTATTAAACAAAACGTAAAGCCAAAACATAAACTTCACCACTATAATACAAAATAAATTTTCAAATTTCTGTTTACAGGCAGCAAGTCCAGCCTTTGACCAGGTGAAAGCCATCTTACAAGCTCTAGACTTGCCACAACCATCCAAAGAATCAACTGTGTTTGAATTGTTTTCTCTGATTGAGGCCAAGGTCAGTGATTCAAAACCACCAACTATTTATTTTCATTATCCTTCAAATCCTCTTTTATTGTTATAATCATTTAATATAATTACCATGCCAAAACCCTTCTCGTTATTAAATGTTAGCAAAATTTGTTATTTTCTAAAAGTATATTTCTTCATACACACCATATACAGTTGTATTGAGTTAACATGCAATGCAAGATACAGTATGATTTATATTTTTTATATTTTATTTCATTTGTACACTTCTAACAAAATATTTCTCTGTGCATGCAGGTGCGTGCACTATTAAGTAAAGCTCCTAAAGATCACCTCGGACAACCTTTACTAATAAAGACTCTAGGAGACAAGCAGTGGGTAAGTTATAAATATTTCCATTTATTTTCCTCTACAATATACTAGTGATTTCTTTGTCAGGATATCTGCAGGTCTAATAATAAACTCTTTACTTACTTCCCCTCAGGGCAAAGTAGAAGAAATCAACTCACAGCTCAATCAGGAGTATACACTGCGCCGTTCAATGTTGTTGAAAAGATTAGATGTTACTGTCCAATCCTTTGGTTGGTCTGACAGGGCAAAGGTTTGCACTTCATTTCATGTAAATTTTCTCTTTGCAATGAACTGTGTCAGCATTTTATCAGTCATCTTCAGTTATTTTGAATAAATAAAACTATGCACATTACATTGTTAGTTTAAGAGTAACAGTTACTGTTGTACATTTCCAGACTAAGAAAGATGAAATATCTGCAGCTTTTCATCCATTAAGAAAATCTCTATCAGCCACAGCTCCAGTAACCATTCCAGATATAATTGCTGCAAGATCAGGCAAGAAAAAGAATTACTTCCAATTTTATTCCATCATTGTTACGATGATTATGTTATTGTAACTTTATTATTATTTTTATCATATCATGTTGAATTGACATGGCAATTAAAATAAATTTCACAGTGTCAGTGATCTGGTATGTGGTTTGAAATGTTGGAGTTCTTACTGTTTTACTTTCTGTACCTGAAGGATTAATTGCAAGATTTCACATAACCATGTCTCTCTATTCTACACTTTTTTTTCTTGCAGATTTGCTTAGGTTGACAAAAACAAGCAGCGGTGAAATAAGAGACAAAATGCAATGTAAAATAAACAAGATCATGATGGGGAAAGTATGTAACTAGCTTAAAAGTTAGAATAGCATTTAGATTAGAGAAGTGATGGAAAGCCAATATTTTAAACATTTTACCCTCAGGTTCCTGATCGTGGTGGGAGGCCATCACATGTTGGATCACCAGTGGAGATGCCATCTTTCAAGAAGAGAACAGAGGCTCCAAAGGACCAAAGACCATCAAGTAAAATATTACTATCTTTCAATTCATTATTATTCTCTTGAATTTAACTTTAAAAAATAATGACTCTTCCTTATCTGTTAATAGTTTCCTAAGTGCTGTAGAATCAGTAGAGCCATGAAATACACTCAGCCTTTTAGCCCCAGAACATAATTGTGTTATAATTTATGTATGGAAGCAACTTTTATCTGTCTTAATTTAGAGTGTGAAACAATTGCAGTTTTGTTGATTGTAGGTGGCCATGGAGGAGGAAGAGGAGGCAAGGTTCAAGGAAGTGAGTTCTTGAACAGCAACTGATCTTCACCAATTTGTGCTGTCAATCTTAGCATATCAAAAGTGTTATTTTGTTACATATTTCCTACAATTTTGATCGAGTGACAGTTAAAATTTAGAATTTAACAATAGCTTGTCAGATATAGTTAGCATTCACATTTGTAAATAGGTACTGAAAAACCTTTTTTTTGGGAGTATTTATCATTAAAGTTTAAAGGTTTAAAGTTTAAATGTTAATAGACACACAATCAGTCAGGTAATTAGAAATGAGAAAATTATTGAATAAGAAAGATGGTAAGTTTTGAGCTCAGTAAAGAAATAAAGAAAGATGGTATTTCATCTTGTCATCAGTGTGGGACAGAGAGAGAATTCTGAGTCCCCATTACATTCAATTCCTCATTGGGACTCAGCATTTTTTCTTTGTCCTACCCTTGTGACAAGACAAAATTACATCTTTCCCTAAGAAAATTAGCATTAGAGCTATGTTAATAGCATAGCAGCCAACAAAGAGCAAGGTCATCAGTGTAAAGAATTAGATAAAGGAGCCACCTAGCAAATCAAAACATCTTGAAAAAAGATAGCCAGCCAATATGAAACAAACATTGCTTTTTTGTTGTACATCTGTTGCAATTATCAGTTAGTCTCGGTGGTGATTGCTTTATGTTCAGCTGTTTCAATCTTGAAATATGAGGCTGATTTAGGAAAGAGCCTGGTGGACCTTCATAACCTGCCCCCTTCACCCCCGGGAGTGTGCATTTTCTTAATTTCAGTTATGGAAGCAAGCTACCCCGAATTGGATTTCTTTCTTACCTCTACATCTGCATCGGCATCTGCCACTTACCTTAGATGTTCTTGCACTAATTACATGGGTATCTCCCAAAATAGATAACTCTTCAATACTTTTCCCCCTTTTTTAGGATGGGCAAATAGAGGTGCACAAGGAGGTCAGGGGGGTAATTGGAGAGGAGGCTGGGGAGGGAGGGGTGGAAACAGAGGAAACCCTTCTAGAGAAGAAGAATATCAGAGAAGGGTTTATTACAGCTGATACTTTGCTGTCCTACCACTGTTGGCTTATAAGAATACTCAGACACTGACAAGTGAATATACAAAGAATGTCATTCAGTGATGCAAAAGATATTGCACAAACAGTGTAGAATGTAATGAAAACTTACAATAAAATCTCTAGAGCATGATTAAGACTAACTTTATTGGTTACAACTGTAAGATTTCTTTTTGGGGACTGGTAGTGACTATCCAGACAATGTTTTATCATGACTTAACAGAAACTCACTGTTCATGAATGATGGTGAAACTCTCTGTCAGAACCAGAGCAGAGTCAAATGGCTTTGTTATGTTAAGATTATACTGCAATTGATGAGGTTGTGGTTACAACACTTTTGCCCTTTAAAGGATAAATTTCTTGAAGACAAACTACATACTGTATGTCAAAGGTAAGACCAATACTCATGGTCTTAAAATAAATGAGGAGAAATTGCTACCTTTCTCTAATCAAGAAATAGATAGATATTCTAGTCTTCTCGGATAAGGACTAATAAACCGTAGGCCCCGTCTCCTGCAGGGTTAGGGGTAGGAGACGTTAATTTCCCACGCACGAGATTACTGTGTCGTGGATGTCCTCCCCTGGGCTGGGATGGGTGGGAATTGGCCCTGAAAAGCCCTCATGGGGAGTGGTCAACAATTGTACATGTATGTATGTCTGTAAGGTGAAGATGGCCAGTTGCCTTAGCACACCTGGCTATATAATTCTGAGTTTGATTTCCTTTGTCATAAATAGATAAAGTACTCTAATGTTAAATAAAGTAACTCTGTGTTAAAAATATATCATTCATTTTACAAATGGCTTTGAGGAAAAATGAATTTACCAGCTGTTGTCATTGAAATAAAGAATTTTTCAAAATTCTTTTAAAAATACACTTAACCTGTGTCAGTACCAAATGATATGTACAAAGAAGACTAAGAAGAATTTGATTATAAATATAGTGGGTTCAGGGGTTAAACCAACAATTACATTTTCCCTATTTATTTATTTTATTAAGTATTCCCTGCAATTTATGGTGTGACCAAATGTCTAAATCTCCTTCAGGCTCAGCTCTTCATGCAATATACTCCCTTTCCAGAGGAGACAAGCCATTGTTTTGTGGCAATTGCAAAAGAAAAGTACAAAAAGACACTGATCTAAAAAAAGGAAAACACAATCAGCTTTGGTGTAGTAATGAATACGTATATTGAGACTATTAAGTTTTCATCCAATTTTGGTTCAAATTTCGGTTCAAGTTTCAAGTGTTAGCACCTTGGATCACTTTCATTCTTTTAATTTATATTGTTTGTTTATCAGGGCACTCAAATTGGCTGGTTCCATTAGTTTGCACCAGGCTTAAGGATCACACTGAAAAAGAACTAGGAACTGCAAAAAGCCTGACTGAATAGCATACGTGAGAGACCACGTCAGATTCTTATACAGTACTTAAATTAACGAGAAATTCGGTAACGAAGATTCGTGTGATTACCTCCAAAACTATGATGAGGAAGGTTTCCGTATAACTCCATACCAGTCAAAAACAAAGCCATAATCCCAAAGGCAATCTGTTGTTTTGCCTCTGCTTTCTTTTATCCAAGAATTATACGCATAATGAAGTATGGGGTTATACGGAAATCTTGCCCTATGATATTTAGTAATTGTCAGAAATTCGGGTAACCTTCTATTCTCCCCCTGGCCAGTCCGATTCAAGAATTTTATATTTCAATTTTTATCTTTAAAAACACTCCACTGGGTCGACGCAAATATATGATTGGCAAAATGGACTAATTAACCTTGCTTTTTGACAAATATTACAATGCCTTTGACTAAGAAAATATCTGGTCCCAAGGTAAAATAGTAGCACTATTTACGTTTTGTAAGCTCTCACAGAGAGAACAAAGTAAAATTCATAATATGTTCTTGTCAGGAAAAATTTTACGACATTCGCGTCTGGCATATGGAACCTAATTTGGTTAAGGTGTCTTGATTGCACAAGCTCAAGGAATAATAATAAAATCAGTGAATGTGTTGAAAGAATATGATGGCTCACTGAGGCTTGACAAAGAAGATTAAACCTGGGGTATGCCTTCCTTGACTTTCTTGTCCCTTTCTTCAAAATATTTAAGTCTTTCAAAGAACAGTTCTTTGGCGAAGGAATACAACTCAGTATCTAATTTGTTAAGTTCTTGAATGCGCGCAAGATCATTCGAACCAAGAACTACTTCGGCCGCTCGAGTCTCGTCCTTGCTCATTTGCACAAATTGTTTTCGGAATTTCATTTCAAAAGTCTTCTCAAAAAGATATTGACTTTCGAGCTGGTACTCCACCAGAGCAAAATACGCCATACTTGCAAGATTTCTCTTGGCGCTTTCCAACAAAACCTCCTCTCTCCTTACGCGTGACATGGCGCTTTTGTTGTAACAACCTACAAGTTTCAAATCAGCCAACATTCGCGTTTGTCGATTGAAAGCCAGATTCGATGAACAGTTCAAAAATTCTGGCAGCGTGGCATCTGTCCAATTTTCTCCAGTATAACATGGTGGCAGTTCTTCTCTAGTTGGCACTCTGCCCTTACACATGTGCAAAGACAGTTTCCATGTTGTACCTTTCTGGTAACATTTTAACTCACTCAACACCCTGGACACGGGTTCGCGTAAAATCGTTATGTAAAGGAATCTCCTCGATCTTTTTCTACCCTCCAATTTATTGATAAACCCTGGAACACAAGCTTTTAATTCAGTCCAATCGGCGTGCAGTCCACAAGGCCATCCCATAGAGTAACGAGAAAACAGCCATATCTTATTCGAGTTGGGTCGCTTACAATCACATCTCTTCCTTCCCCGAACGCAGTTACAAGGATGTTGAATGTCCAAGTTTCCCACCAGATGTTTACCAAATTTCGTTCCACCAGTTTTTTGCATGTGGAAGAATACAATTATATCATTTCCCTCGACATCGAATGGATACTCTTTTCCGATGTTTGCTTCAAAATAATTAACCCTTTCAGATCTATATTCCGCCATGCTGCTTCTTGTGCTTGCAATTTGACAGCTGTTCCGCGGGCACACATAAACAAAAAGAATTACAACAGCAATCGAGGCGACAGCAATGAAAATAAATAAAGACCTCAACTTTCCATGCCACATATTCGGCCTCATGTAACCGATCGAAGAAAAACGATTAAAAACACAGAGATAAATCCTTACACCCGCGAACGATAAACAAGAAATTGACACCAGACTAGGCCTACCCGATGGTGGAGGCAAAATATGACTCAGCTGGAGGCGGTGGGTATAATATTCAGCAGGCGAGCATGCTGGGATAATTTCGAAGCTCGTGTACTTTTACTCTTATTAATTCAATTTTTTCCTGCCACACGGTAAATTTACATTACTCGTGCGAAGAATTTCTGGAACTGAAGGCGCTTTTCACCAGTTCATGATAACATGTTGCTAGGTTTTAAGGATGTGCCTGATGACGATATCTTCAATCGTCATTCTGGTTAGGCAACATCCATGCATTAATTAGTGTCATTTTCCTGTCTGGAGATCAGCGCTTTAAGGACTCAATGTTGGGCCACGTCTGTGGTAGGGGTAGGGAGGGTGCAGTGTTTTCCTCCTTCTAACCCTTCATAGATTGCCCCAGCACAAAACTACTAACAATTGATACCAGGAAGTCCCTTTATAATATGTGATTGAGGGCAACCCCAGGGAGAAATTTCACCTGAATGTGGGCTGATAACCGGGTTTGAATCACAGATCGACCCTTTTTCTGTCAAACGTTCAATGGTGGTGGTATAAAAGTTAGAGCACTTCTTGAGGTTACAAGCTGAAGGTTTCTCAGCTATACTGTGGTTCTCATTGGTGATTTTAGACAGTACCTACAGAAGCATGCCATGATATACAAGGTTATTTTTATGTCGCATCTTTGCAACTGAACCAGACTAGATCAACTTTCTTGACAGTCACATGATCAAGTCTAGTAGTGTAAGTGTTCCAAAGTAATAGTACAGTTCTTCTAATTCCAAAGATTAAGGGGATTCACTAATCCCATTTCCTTAACATAAAATCCTTTTCCTGTCACTATACAACTGATGCTGAGGGAACTCATCCCCCCTCAATATCCTTACCTCTTGAATCCTTACTGTTATTAACATTTGAGAAAAGTACCTACAGAGATGCAGAGTTTCACCTGTTGCAAGAGTACACTCCATCAATTTCTCAGCCTCAAAGCCAAAGCAGGGCATTAGAAAGACAGTAGGGTTTCACAATCATAAGTCCACTTCAGTATTACTGCCAAGAGTTTAGTGGTACAATGAAGGAGGGTGGAGAAGGATTTCTTCAATACATGTGACAAGAGCCAAAATTAATAATACTCAAATTTTGGCACTCTATGTTCCACTACAAACCAGCATGGGGCATCAACCTCAAAATTTCTCTCAAACCTTCTACCTATGGAGTGTTTAGAAGTATTTTTTTATCATTATTATTTTTTATATATTTATACAAAGAACCAAATCAAGACCCACCCTTTTCTACCCTCAAAGGATAGCTAGTCTGCTCCAGGCATTCTAGTCAGTTAAAGAAGGGCATTGCTAAGGTAAACTGAGCTTTTGCAGAGGTGAAGCAAAAAAACATGGGAGGTTTGGATCATTCATTGTAATATCCTACCACAATCTCCCTCATTTTTTTTTTTTTTTGCTCAACTGCTACTATTGCACTGTTTACTATTGTGCTTCATATTATGATCAGAATGCCTTAGAAAGGTTAAAATGATGGCTTTTTGACCTATCAGAGCACTAGTAATCTCTGCTATTTCAGTAACAGAGAACAAATTGATCATGTTTCTAGTTAAAAGAAAAAATGACAAGTCAGTTTAAAACACTTTTAATTAGTTTCTTCCCTTTCATCACTAAGACAAGCCAAAAACAATGTCATATTTCACCAAAATTTCAACCCAATCTTGCCAAAGAGCTGCACATCCATATCTTCCCTCTCTAATTCTGAAACAAAGCAAATAGGACACAATCACACAATAACACCCCCCTCCCCCAACACCAAATTTCCATCAGTTCTGCTCTTTGACAAATAAACATGTCACAAACAGTAACTAAGATGCTGATAGCTGACCCATAGGGTTCTCTATGTGAGCAACACTTGGGACCTAATATATTCTCATCCTTGCAATGACACAAAAGTGGAAAGTATAATGCTGATGATAGCTTGCACAGATTTCTTGTCTGACATGAACTTGGAATTCTGAAACAATGAAAACTTCAATTTTCAAATGAACCCACCACCCAGTATGGAGGAGTCACTACCAAGCGAACAACAGCAAGACCATACTTAGCTCTGGGCAGCAGGTGTTGTTTGGGTAATGGACACTCCAGGTTCCATCCACCAACACTCAGCTTGAAACAAAAAGCAACACAATTAGCATAGGTAATACCAACAGATCTCAGAGCTTTGAGACAGTCTATCGAGTATATCAAGGCAACATCTTACATTCGATGTGTAACCTCTGATCTTTTAAGGACCCCAGCACATTCTTTAACCTGTGCTCAACACCCATCAAAAGGGACCTCTTTGCAACAAAAATAACAGAGTAAATTGATGCTTCTGTAACAGCAACTTGAGTCCTTCAAAGTTGTGATCACCTTTTATTTTACGATTTTAATTCAGTGGCTGTCTTAAACAATATAGTAATAAAAGCAAGCAATCCCCTATCAACATCTTGAAAATAAGTTCCTGGTAAAAGCATGAAACAACCTTTTACCTGGTAGGAAGGAAGTATCAGTTGTCCTTCAATTCTGGAGTGTGGTGTAATCCACAGGCAATGCCACTGGTATCATTCATGACCCAAGTGCACCACACATCACCTAAATCACAAGGTGGAAAACTTGCAGTTTTAGTCCACCTAAGTCGTTTAAGTAATATCTACATGAAAAGTAAATAATTGCTGTGAAATCAATTTGCTTTTTTCCTCTCCTGTAATTACAATACATCCTCATTTCCAACCTAAAGAAAACTATCAGATTTCCTTGAAAAAAAAAAAAAAAATGACAAATTTAGAACTTGAGCAAGAGGAACTACACAGGCAAAATCACACTTATTTCCTGAATTTTATTCTCAAACAATGAGTAAATGGTGAAGAAAAAAGCAACTTGCTTCCACAGACCATTTTAGGAATTTCTGACGTATGTAACTGAATAAGTTCCAAAAAAAGCCGAAATCAAACCCAAATTTTCTAATTATACGACTTTAACCCTAACCCAAGCTAAACAAACTAAAACATTTACACTGAGTCAGCATGAATAATAGATTAACCTGCCAGCTCACCAAGTTCAAATAAAGAAAAACTACCGAACGTTTCAATATCCTCTCAAATTTCAAACCATGCACTAGTTTGTTACATAATAGATTGAAACACGAAATTCAGTCTTCTTTTGGTGAAATGCTAAAGCATCATTCGGCGAAAGAAGCAGCGCCAACCCCAAAGTACACATCCACATCAATTTCATCATTCGCCACAACTACAAATTTTAAGCCATAGTATCTACGAAAGCCGAGAAAGTCCTAATGAACATTTTGTCGACTTTAACCTCATATTTTCTTCCACCAATGATTTATTTTCACGCCGTAACTCTTCCAGATAAGAAAGCAAAGTATTTTCTTCGTGTGATTTCTCGGCGGGAGCGGTAAAAGTGTTTGGTCCTTGTGTGCCGACTCTTCCAATTTCCTCGCAACGTTTTTGAAGAATCTCTCCTTTTCCCTCAAGCTCTCTGAATTTATTAACAAGTTCGCTTTTAGAGAGCTCTAGTAAGCTTTCCTCCTGTATACGATTGTATGTGGCTTCGAAATCTTTTTGGAAAAAATCCAAATCGAAATCAAGGTCCTCGAAATCGCGAACAAGATCTTCTTCAGTAGAATCGAAAGCTAAGTCTCTGTCTGATAAAGGTGAACCTCGTACTGATCCTGGAGAACTCGTACAGTGACTAACTGGTGAGGTGGAAGGAGAAGAAATTACATAAAAAGGTTCCGTCACCTCCTTGTCCTCCATAATGAATTGTGTGGTATTCTGAGGCGCCGCGGTTTTTGTTCTCCTTTGCTTCATTGGCTTCCAACTCTCCTGCATTCTGTGGACACCCAGAAGAGTAGAGTACTTTCTCTTCTTTAACCTTCGTAATTTCTTTCGTTTCTGCGGCTTTACAACGACGTTTTCAGAATCCATGATGGCTTCTCCTACAGACATCTCACAAGCAAAAGTTTCGTTCGTCGGTTTTAAACACATGAAAGTTACGTCTGGATAAAAGCTTAAAACACGGTTAGTATTCTTTTGAAACACAGAGTCAAAAGAAACCAACAGTTTGTGATAAGTCTTGCCGAATTTCACTTCTTTCTGCTACTGCTGTTTCCCTTACCACTCCGATTAGCTCCCGAGTTACGTTTAACGAACGTAATGGAGACGACCCTTACTTATCCATCAGTTCCCATGACAACTGTTGTGACGTCACGATTTTGCTCCATATTTGGGGATTTTGAGTGAGCTCATTTGAGGTTTCCCGCCAATCAGGCTCTCTATGGTTTATGGGAACAAATGGCAAGTAAATAAACAAGGAAACGTTTCGGCAACGTTATTAAAACTTCTAAATATAGAAATTTTCAGCGACTTTGGGATAATTTTATAAGGTGATTCAGCTAGTATTTTCAAAAAGTGATGGAGGCTTCATTTGTTTCTTATTTAAAGATCCCTTCTGCCATATGAAAGGAAAAAAGTGTCATCTATGGATTTAAATTTAATGTCACCATGGAATTTATTTTCTTTTTTTACTTAATGACCATTTCAAAGACATTGCTAAAACTCTTCAAATTTTTTTAATTTTTAGCCTAGTTGATCATAATCAAATAGAACTTTTAAAGAGAGAAATTTTATTCTTCTCATTTGGAACTTATAAGTTAATTAAGTATAATTTCAGAGCCGAGCGAAGAGTTTCCAGCAATCTGATTGGTCGAGCGGTTCCTTATATGATGCTATGTAAGCCGCTCCACGCGGTTTATATAAAATGTTCAAATAAAATGTTAATAAATGTTACTTAAATGTTATGATTTTAGAAATTTTTCTGTTGGTCAGCTCTGAAATCATACTAAAACAATTATTTGCCTCAGGTTCGGTGAATATTCTCGAATAATCCCCTCGACTTCGTCTCAAGGATTATTCAACAATATTCACCTCACCTTCAGCGAATAATTGCAGACCTCCCAAGTCTCACGATTTTGTCGTAAGACTCGCGATTTTCAGTTCAATCTCACGGTCTCACGACGAGACAGACAAATCTCATGATAAATAGAGGCGCAAGCTGAAAGGATAAATTTTTGGTATAATTTCATTTTTGGCTCGCAAGAGGTGAGTTTTTTTGTGCCAATTCCGTGCAAATCCATAACAAACCAAGCTGTTAAGCCCCGTCTACACGTGCAATTTTTATATGGCAATTTTATTTGCCGGTGTAGATGATGAAAAATGACCAATTTTTATGTGACAACTGCATATGCTGAAAAGCTGGCGTCCTAGTTTTTATGTGGCAAATAAAAATTGCCACATAAAAAAAATGTCTGTGTAAATGAGAAGCCACATAAAATGTGACTAACGCGCCTAAAGTTGCAACACGTCTGGCACGTCTTCTGACTTTCGCCATCTTGCTTTTTCCTTTCCTTGAGCATCTCCGCTGTGCAAAATTAGACCTGATGCTAATTAACAACAAATATTTGTCGAGCCATCTACATGG